TGTCAGTGGTTTGGCAGGTTTCAGAGTTGGTTCTGGTGTTGGGAAGGTTGAGGGCTCCGCCGGGGGCTGCAGGTCCTGCCTGCTGGACACGTGGGATAAACTTCTCTGTTGGTGTCAGGGAGTTTCAAACTGAGCTCCCTGGGAAGGAATCACTCTCTCTTCTTCCAAAAAGCAGGTTTACCCACGGTGAGGGTTGTTCTGGCTCTCCACAGCGCTCCAGGGGGTTGCATTTACCCCTCTCAGCCTCCGAGATAAAGGTTTCTCCTCTTCTTGGTTGATTTTGCTGGTGGCTGAGGAGTAACCACTCTCCCTGCCCTGCACCCTGATACTGTCCCGAGACCACCCTGTCCCCTCCCAGTGGATCTGCTCCCCTGGACAGACACGTGTCCAGCTGCTCTCCAGCACGTGGGGCCTCCCCTGTCCTGCCTCCTATGCCTGGTTGTCCTTAGAAATCAGACTCTTTCCTGCTGTCTAAGCCCCATCCCCTGCCTGCAGCTTAATCCTGGGATTTCTTACCCAGCGACAGGAGGAACATTATTCCCTTTGTCTCTGCTGCAGCCACGTTTGGAAACCTGTTGCCATGACCCCCTTCCCCTGTCTCCTCATCCTTTGCTCCACGTGTTGCAGGTCCCTTATCCAAGACCTCCTCTCTGGACACTGTCCCTGTGAGCTGTGTCCTCGTGGGACTGCCCCAGGGGTGGGAAGGATGGTCCCTGTGTCCTGGTGTCCTGTTCCCCTTGTGAGGGGACAGAACTCCAGCCCTCCTGGCCAGGCTGCAAGGTGCTGGATCCCAGGGCACTGGGTTTCTCCTGGATTTCCTTCTGTCCTGGCTGGGGATCAAAAAATGATCCATAAACAAGCCAAGTGACAGAGGCCACGAGGGTTTGCCTGTGGGGTGCAGGGTGGGCTGGGGTTCCCACAGGGGTTTTGTGCTTGGTGTGGGGCTCAGAAACCCTATTCCATCCATGTCTCTGGGGGTCTCATCCACACGCCGTGGTCAGGGTGTTAATGCTCCTCTCCTTGCTCCCTTGCAGACTCTGCCATATTCCCCACCATGGGTGACATGAAAACCCCCGATTTCGATGACCTGCTGGCAGCTTTCGACATTCCCGACATCGACACCAACGAGGCCATCCACTCTGGCCATGAGGAGGCTGATGCTCACATCAAGCAAGTCCCTGGGGAGCCAGGACCCCCCGACCACGTCCTGCCCCACACGGACATCACAGCTGTCAGTGTCATCGTGAAGAACACGGTGTGTCCCGAGCAGCTCGATGCCCTGGACGGACGCAGCAAAGATGGGCACGTCCTGGGGCCCCGCTTGCTGCAGAACGGCTTTGGGGCCCCCGAGGTGCCCAGGTCCCCCACTTCCAGGTCCGTGGAAGCCGTGGCCTCCTCCAACGGGGAGTGTTGGGTGAAGGAAAAAGGTCCCAAACCTCTGGATATCTTCTCCCATTTTGGCCCTGATCCCAATGAGGACAACCCTGCCAACCTGATCGACAGGCCCCGGGAGTGCAAGCCGAAGGAGAAGCCCCTCGCTGTGCCCTCCCTCTCCCCATCTCCCACCCCATCCCTGGACTGCAAGGAGCCCCTGGGGGAGGGCACGGAGACCCTGGCCCCGGCCTTCCCACAGCCCTTTGAGACCAGCCAGCCCGGGGGTGCTCACGGGTCCCCCCAAACCATCGCCTGCATCAAAAAGGAGGAGTCTGACTCAGAGGAGGTGTGCCGGGAAGCCAGCCCCAAGGCTTTGGCTGCAGCCTTGGCCAACAGCCCCCTGGATCACCTGAAGTCGGTCACGGTGCGTTACCCCACCGAGGATTCTCCCATCACCTCCTGGCCCAGCTCAGACCCAAACCTGGACAGCAGCACCAGCCACCTCCCCGAGGTGAAGCACTCGCCCGCCAGCCCCCGGGAGCCCTTCTTCAAGCCTTCCTCACCAGTGGTACAAAGCCCCAGGACCCCCACTTCCCCAAAGCAGCTGGACAGCATCAGCCCCAAGGAGGAGCAAGAAATCCTGGAGAAGTCGATGGGAAGTCCACAGAGCATGTCCAGCGCTGAGGATGAGGATGAGGAGGAAGACAACAACAACGACTCCCCTTCTTCCAACTCCTCACGGCCCCTGAAAGTGAGGATTAAAACCATCAAAACATCTTGTGGCAGCATCACCCGGACAGTGACCAGGGTCTCCTCGGACTCGGAGCCGGGCTCCACCAAGGGCCCAGCCGAGCAGAGCTCCCAGGAAACCTCTCTTGAGGGTTCCAGCTTCTCCACGTCGGCAGAGAAGGAGGAAGGGATGGTGCTGGAGTTGCCCAAGGAGAAAATGGAGCTTTCCAGCCCCTTGAAAACCATCGAGGGGCCCAAAATTGTCAGTGTTCAACTTGGCAATGGCACCAAGCTCAAAGGGACCGTCCTGCCCGTCTCCACCATCCAGAACGCCAGCAGCGCCATGCTGATCGCGGCCAGCGTGGCCCAGCAGAAGTCCGTGGTGCTGCCCACAAAGACAGGGAAAGCCGTGGCCAAGAACATCATCAACCTGGTGCCACAGACCCTGCCCAAGGCTGACACCAGGACCAACGTCAGCACCGTGACGCAGACCAGCACCATCACCACCACGGCCAACCAGAAGGTCAACGGCACCACGGTGGTGATGGTGCAGCCACAGAAACCTTCCCCAACCGTGGCGGGCACGGTGATTTCCCGCAGCCAGTCCAGCCTCGTGGAAGCCTTTAACAAGATCCTCAACAGCAAGAACCTCCTGGCCACCTACAAACCCAACCTGAACCCCCCAGCTGATGCCAGCCTGGCCCTGCCACCCTTCGGCTACCGCTGCCTGGAGTGTGGAGACTCCTTTGCCCTGGAGAAGAGCCTGGCTCGGCACTACGACCGGCGCAGCATGCGCATCGAGGTGACCTGCAACCACTGCACCAAGCGCCTGGTCTTCTTCAACAAGTGCAGTTTGCTCCTGCACGCCCGGGAGCACAAGGACAAAGGGCTGGTGATGCAATGTTCCCATCTGGTCATGAGGCCCATCGCTCTGGATCAAATGATCGGGCAGCCAGACATCACCCCCCTGGTCTCTGTCACCTCCTTCCCCGCTGGCAAAGTGACCAGCGTGGCTCAGGATGCCTTGACCACGGCCAACGGGGCACAGGACCTGCCCATCCTGCCCCTGAGCAACAGCTCCGAGCAGAGCAACTACAGCTGCTTCAGGTGCCTGGAGTGCAAGGAGCAGTGCAAGGACAAGGCCGGGCTGGCCGCGCATTTCCAGCAGGCGGTGACCACGGGGACCACCAGCAGCACGGTACGTGGTGGGGAGCTGGACCTCAGAGCCACAGCACGTCCCTGGGGAGGTGGGACAGGGCTGGAGGACTCCACATGGGATTTAGGCAGCGTCCACCCCGTTGCTCCCGATGTGAAACTCGTGCAGGAGACCTGAGAGCAGCTTCCAGTGCCTGAAGGGGCTCCAGGAAAGCTGGGGAGGGATTTGGACAAGGGCACAGAGGGATGGGATGAGGAGGATGGATTAGAACTGGAAGAGGGAGATTGAGGTTGGACATGAGGAGGCTGTGAGGGTGGTGAGACACTGGCCCAGGTTGCCCAGAGAAGCTGTGAATGATGGAAGTGTTTGTGGTCAGGGTTGGATGGGGCTTGGAGCAACCTGTTCTAGTGGAAAGTGACCCTGCCCATGCAGCGGGTGGAACTAAGTGATCTTTAAGGTCCTTCCAACCCAAACCATTCCATGATTCTATGAGCTGGGGCTCAGCTGGTGCCCATGAGGCCCTGGCTGGGGGGACAAGAGGCTGCTGCTGGGGACAGAGCTGCCCCAGAGCAGGTCCCTGGGTGTCAGTGCCCTGGCTGGTGGCACGGTGGGACGCAGCCGTCCCAATGGAGCCATGTTGGAGCCACGGGTCCTGCTTCCTCTTTTCTCCAGCCTGAAGCACAAATGGAGGCTGGAGAGACCAGGGTGTGGGCTGGGTTTTTTTCAACCCCTCTTCCAGAGCCAACCTGGAGATCCCATGAGCTTCCTGCTGCTGCCAACACAGCCTGGTCTGTTGGGGCAGCAGCATCCGGCAAACAGGGGATTAACGCTGCCCAGGGGTGACCTTCAAAAGGAGAGGAGGGAAAACGTGTCCACAGAGGAGCCCTGTCCTCCCTGTGGCTCAGCTTCACCTTCCCCTCTGTCCAGAGACGTTCAGCCCCGGCCTCCCTTGCACAGCAGGAA